GCTGGACTAGAAACACTAATATATGTCAGTCAAACTTGTATGGGCCACCAGCAGTCAGCTCTCCACACACGTTGGTACCGCGCTTTTCTGCGCTGGAGATTCGTAGCATTGGACTTGAGACGCTCTTCAAAGAGCAGCAAGTCGCGGTATGTGGCGACATCGTTGGGCGGGTAGAAAGAGCCTTTGGGAGGAGGCGTCGACCGCGGGGGCATGTGTACAAGTCAACCCTGTGCCGCTTTTCTCATTTCGGATGCGCCGAGTTTGCCGGAGATAAGATAAGATTTTCATTCAAAGTGCTGTAGTCGACTTGTAATTGTCCGATTATGAGCTAGCCAATCTACATGCCGGTTCGCTTGAAATGGCTAATATGTCGTTGTATGTCAAGCACATGAATGTACTTCCGAGGGCGTACTAAAACGTCGAACGTTATCCACTGTTGAAGCAAGTATGTTTTCAAGTCCACGGGTTAGCCGTAGTAGGCAGCTATAGGCCGTTCACAGAATTCACAGCGAAGCAATGACATTCTGACAAGGGTGGCGTAAGTACTGAGCCCGATAATGTTGGACTAATCCGACTCCCGAGGCAGGAGATCCACGACCGAGCCCGAAGAGACCCTGCACATGAATTTTCAGCACCTTACCTCCTCGTATCAGTTCGTATATCTATGAGCCCCCACAACATCCTTGGGAACTGTTTTGTCGCCGCGAAAAATAATGGCACAAGCTGTCAAGGCATGCACGCGCGCAATGATATCGCTTCCTTCTCTGAAGTCATCTGAGATTTGTCCCCAGCAACATGGCAGCGTTCAGGCTCTGGGAGAAATTGATTTGATCTAGTTCTCAGACTTGGGTCGATGTGTTCGCTCAGACTAAGTAATGTCGAACCCGGAGCGACTCAGTTCAAAGGTATAGTAGTGCAGCTGAGCCATTTCCCAAGTACATTGCATGCAACTTCACGTACGCGACAAGTTGGCATATAGGCTTCCCTAGGCCCCCGAAGGACCACACACCGGTCCATCCAACCCGGTTTCTATGTAACCTAGCCAAGAGAGTCCAAAAGCGGCCACGCGTTGTTTGGCCTGGTCCTGGCAAGCGATTTGTGACCAACAACTACCAAAAGTTTCTTCCTCCCTAGAGACTGAGTTCTCTATTCCCCATAAATAATGGCGGCTGCCAGGTGCATGGCTTCGTCGTCGCACCCGCCGCCGTTGCGCGGCCTGGCCCAGACTCTCCCAGTCCGATCGCGACCGACTAAGTGCAGAATTTCTTGGGCGGGCAGGGCTTTTTCGAGCTCTTGTGTTCAGTGTGACCACTACAAGACGCTCGGTGTTCCTAAGGGAGCAACTAAAGCGCAGATCAAGGTCAGCTCATCTCCTCATGACACGTATTTCTGACTGAACGCTGTCCCTCCAGTCCCATTTCTACCAGGTGGGCACGTATCGCTCCTTGAAGGGATTCAGAGACTCATTCGTCTCTGTAATTTATCATACAAACTTTACTCCATACGCAATGCAACTACGGCAATGGCTTGTAGCTGAGCAAAAAGCACCACCCGGATGTGTCGAAGGATGCAAAATCGCCAGAGATTTACACTCGCGTGACAGAAGCGTACAAAGTGCTGAGTGACGATCGTGAACGGTATGTCCTGACTGACTGCTTCATGTAGCTACCGCCATTCTCTTAATATTCACATTGTACCCCGACAGCCGGATATACGACCGCTCCGGATCTACGCACCCCGCTCACCACCCCCGCTCACAATACCAGCCAGGCCCAGATGGCAACGGGTACCGGCCACGGCCTGGCGCGACCTACGCCTGGGAGCGCCCCAGTCGCCGTCCCAGCGCGTCCTCAGCTTCTTCTACATCATCCTCATACGGCAACGCCAGCGAATTCTCCCGGCGCCCTGGCGACTGGTCACGCCCTTTCCAGCAACAGAATCCGCACACACATCCGGGGTCCCAGGCACGGCAGCACCCGGGGCAGGGTGCGCACTATGACCCATCAGAATATGTCTACCGTTATACGGGGCGGACGCCGCGGCAGAAGGCCAGTGATGAGGAGAAGGCTCTGGAGCGAGTGCAAAGGGTGAGTGGGTTGAGGAGGGCGTTTCAGGTCGTTGCGTTGCTCGTGCTGAGCGCCGGGTTCGTGGGGGGGTGGAGATGAGGGTTTGTAAAGGCAACCAGGATATTTTGCTGGTTGGAGCACGCGCGCAAACCGATGGTTTCGACACATATTTCCATTGAATCTTATCATTCCAACGCTGGCGAGAGGCATGCGATCGGTCCTCACATGTAATAGGTCTGTAAGGTATGTAGGATGTTTGCACGTTCCGTTCTCTCTGTAAGCCCTGTTTTGCAATCTTAGTCTAGGGCTGCTGCAGGCTGTGGCCGCTGCCAGCATCACAGGCCGGACAGCCTGATTATCAGATTATCATTATGAGCTTCGCTTATTCGCTTGTTATAGCCGTATAATGCCAACGTCGTCAGTCTATGTAGCCTGCGAGGATCCGCAATGCTCACACCCCCGCGATTTCTCCTGCTCCTTCTCACCTTTGTGAGGTTGCTGGTCCTCAGTGGAGCCTACGGGACAATGACCGACTTACCCGGCGCCGCTCGTCACGAGTTGACCGACCTCTGTACTGCGAGGTTATACTTCCCGGGCAGTGATCAAGGCTTTTTCTCGAACGTGAAGGCTTCCCATAATCCGTCCGGAAAGCCTCAGAAGGTTATTATCTTCCCCGATCTATATGAGGCCTCTGTGGCGGAACTCCGGGCAGGTCTGGACGCCGGCCATTTCTCAAGCGTCGATCTCGTCAAGGTCTGTACTCCAGCTAAGAAATTCTCAAAACTTGCTGACCTTCTCACACTGGCAGTCTTATTTCGCCCGTATTGAAGAGGTCAACCTGAAGGGCCCCGGCCTGCGGGCCGTCATCGAAATTAACCCTGCCGCACTGGCCACTGCAGCTGAATTGGACCTTGAATGTAGACTAAAAGGCCCTCGAAGTGCCATCCACGGCATACCAGTGCTGTTGAAGGTATGCTCTATTTTCTTCGCCAGACGTCGCTTCAGCCAGGCTGACCATGACAATAGGATAACATCGCCACTGCTGCTTCCGAAGGTAGATTTTATATTCATCTTCCTCCGCCTGTCAGTTCAAATATTTCGACAGGTATGAATACGACTGCCGGGTCCTTCAGCCTACTAGGCTCTGTTGTCCCAGATGACGCGGGCGTGGTCAAACGTCTGCGACACGCCGGTGCGATTATTCTAGGTAACTACTGACACATTGTCCTCATGAGTGCTCTCATAATGCTCATCATCTCCGCTATATCTCAGGCAAGACCAATCTTTCAGAATTCTCGCACATGCGCGGCGACCTGCCGTCTGGTTGGTCGGGTCGAGGCGGCCAAACGACGAACGCGTACTATCCAAAGGGAGACCCGTGTGGGTCATCTGCTGGTTCGGGCGTTGCTGCTTCCATTGGCCTGGCCACTGTCACTCTCGGGACCGAGACGGACGGGAGCATAACTTGTCCTGCCGGCGTCAACAATGTCGTCGGTATAAAGCCCACTTTAGGTCTAACTTCGCGAGCAGGAGGTACGTACCGGGGAACCTTCGCATCCGGTCTATGCATGCTCATATGCTGCAGTAATACCGATCTCAACGCATCAGGACTCGGTGGGACCTATCACGCGATCCGTAGCTGATGCAGCGACCGTTCTCTCCATCATTGCAGGACTTGACCCGAACGACGGATATACCTCCGCCCAACCACGCGCTGTGCCCAATTACACCAAGGCCTTGAGCACCCAGGCCCTCGAAGGAAGACGGATTGGTGTCCCTCGGCGCGTCTTTATGAATAGCACAATCACCGACCGTCCATCAGAGATCTCTGAAGCCTTCGAGGGCGCACTGGCGGTCTTGCGCAGCCTGGGCGCTACCATCGTGGACCCTGCTGACCTCCCCACTGCCGACGAGATATTGGTATCGGAGAACGAGAAGATTGTCCTTGCGACTGATTTCAAGGTGTCGTATGTTTGTTCTTCCAAGTGATTCGAGGCCAACCTCCCAACCTCCGAAGCAAGAAATCAATGACCATTTCGCCCACCTCAAGTCAAATCCGTCGGGCGTCCGAAACCTCGGAGAAGTCATCCAGTTCAATAACGATAATCCGACTCTCGAGAAACCGAAGGGGTACGAAGATCAATCGATGTGAGCATCCTCCCTGTTATCATAGATCTTACAGTATATAACATTAGTTCTATACAGTTTCATGACTGCCGAGGCCACTGTTGGTTTTGACTCGTCCTACTTAGCGGCGCTTGCTGCTAACCACGCCCTCGGCGCGACTCGCGGGATTGACGCTGCCTTGAAGATGTACAACGTGGATGCTCTCGTACTTCCTTCAGATGGCTTATCTTCGACTCCTGCCGGTTCGTTTTTTGTCACCGCCCCAGAGCTGCTTAAACAATTCAATTTCTCAGCCATCGCAGGGTATCCCATCGTGACGGGTGAGTTGGTTTTATTTCCTTCCAGAAACCTCAAATTGAACCTTTTACTATGTATATAGTCCCTTTGGGGTTCTTCAGCGACAACGTCGCCGTCGATGTGGGTCCAGAAACCGTAAAAACGGCTCCTGGCATTCCCTTTGGCCTGTCGTTCTTCAGCACAGCATATTCTGAGTTTGAACTAATTGGATTTGCCTATGCCTACGAACAGCAGACAAAAACAAGGTTGGCCAGGAGAGCGTACGAGGGGGCTGTCCCGAAGACTCAACTGGAAAATGTGATACAAAGCTTATAGCCCGTCATCATCAAACACGAAATTACAATTTGACGATTTTGAATATGTGGCGTTGTAGAGGAACTTGGGAAGACCACGTCCGATACCGTCAGGCTCAGCAATAGCTCAAGAAACACCACGACATGGGATAATCACATAGAGTGGAGAGAAAACGGTGCAAGTGAACCAGGTAAAGGGGAAATAGTGACGATAACCGTCTCGATAGCTAAGTGGTATAGCATGCGATTGCAGTTGTGTGTCAACATATCGCAGGGTCCGGTGTTCGAACCACCGTCGGGACTGGCAGTAATTTTTTTGTCTTCCTCTTCCTCGAGGAATACTCCCCCCTGGATGGAATATATCACTCACTCGCATTCGCGACCGTCATGACGCCACGATCGCGGATTAACCAAAGACAATAATAGTGCAGTGCATGGCAAAAAATTCTAGATACTTTTGCATACATGGTATTGCCATGTCCAGCCTTTCACCTCACACGCTTGCGCCTTTCAGCTCCGCCTTCTCCCTCTCCCTCCCCAGCCGTCCCTTCCCCCTCGCCCGCTCCACAGTAGCCCACATCACCTCTGCCTCGCTCATCACCCCTTCTTCGTCAAGCTCCGCGTACGCGGCCTCGAACCGCTGTATCTCTTCCTCAAAGTTCCTCTGTCTAGGATCCTCTTCATCCACAGCGATTTCGCCACCCGAAGGAGAATCCAAGACCCGCCTGACACCCTCCAAGAAGCGTCCCGCCGTCGCCAAATTATGCGCCACGAGCAGCGCATGTGCGCTCATTTCATGCGTATGCAGGAGGTGGTGGATGTACGCGCGCGTGTAGGGGGCTTTCCCTCCCCTCTCTCCATCGCGGGTCGCCCCATCGCCGTCTCGTTGTGGCACATCAACCTCGCTATGAACGATCCTCTTCTCACCGGGCACGGGCACAGGTTTACACGCGATGCACGCACACACACCCTCCTCCCCCGAGAGCGGCCTCAAATCCAGGGCGTACTTGACATCATACAGATTGTGCCCAAGCTGCTTCTCAATGTCCTGTTTTCCATTCTCCGTAGATGATCCGATGGCAACAGGGGCTGGGAAGCCAAACTCCAATGCTACCCCTCGCCCACCCGCTTGCACCGCCCACCCGGCATCCACGCCGTCCACGCCGACGTCCCGTACCAGCCTCAGGATATCGTGCGGGCCGTTGGTGCCCGTGACGAGGCGCGGTTTTGTTGCGGAAAGTGGGCCGAGAGAGGCATGGAGAAGAGCGTGCTCATGTTCGTGAATTCTTGGGCTTGGTATCGGGGGACTCGAGGGAGTGGCCGAACTTGCAGTTGAGAGAATGGACTGTGCGGTCGCAGCACTCGTCTCGCTAGCAGAAGCAGGAATCGGGGTCGGTGCAAGGCCTCTTCTCAGCGCCACCAAGTCGACAACATAGCCACTGACACCCTCATCCAAAACCTTGAGGCCGCCTAGAGTCGCTGTTTCAAGTTCCGAGAGTGGCTCGAGAAGCGAGCGGGCAAACGCCATGCGGGCGGCAGGGGAATTTGAGCCTACGAGGGAAACAAAGATTCCCGGGGTGTGTGTTGTAGGAGGGATTGCGGTGGGAGCTGCAGGAGCTGCATGACTACGAGAAACAGCAGCCAGGAGCTGTGCGAGCCACTCCCTCCCCCGTTCGACGCTCTTGGTGAGCCTCTTTTGCGAAATTCCCGTTCTCTGCCCTTGGTTGACGCTATGGGAGGGGGTCGGTTCGTCCGCGAGGGCAAGCACAATATCGGGCTGGGTCGCGAGCGTGTAGGTGGACCATTGAGGTGGGGAAACCTTTGCGAAGTGAGGGGGTTAACAGTCAGTTATGCTCGGGAAGAAGGAGACAACGCGATGAAAGGTGGCGTGCAAGAAATCGGGAAGATCCAGACGGCACGGCACCGAGGATCGAAATGCATGACATGATGTCCATCAATGAACACACACCTTCCTGACTCCCCGTAAGCAAAGGGCGCTCACAAAGTCCTTGCCATTGGTTGGGATGTCACGGGTGTCGTACGGATCGCGGAGGACGAGGGAGACAAGGTGTGCGCTAGGATCGAGGCCTAGGTGGCGGTGGAGGCGATGGGCGTTGGCGTTGGGTGCAGTAGCAGATAGAGGCAGCGTGGGCAGCGGGGGATCTTGTTCGAGGCTGGACCATGGTTGTCAGTTCACATAGAAAGGCAAATGGATGCTCAATGGACTTGCAAACTTTCAAAAGGAATCCACAACCACTCTACATTGCTGCTCCTGAGATGGTCGCGAGAGAGATGGGGCACGACCCCGCGCGACGTCGACGTGAGCAGTGCCGGCGTGTCGATGTCAACACTTTTACCCTCGCCTTGACGGCTGACCACGAGTGTACCCGTGCGCGGACCAAATTTCGAGCTGTCGGCGCTGCTGCTGAGCGAGAAAGTCAGCGGACGAGAGGTTGACTTGGTGTCCATCGCAGTGAATCTAGGTGTAGCCCCAATATCTATGCCCATCCTAGCAGTGCGCGCAGAATCGATGCCCAGTTTGAAGAAAAGGGCGCGATGAGCGTGCACTCGGAGCGATACAGCTATTTTGGAGGATAGAATGCGAAAAAGGCATGGAATCCAGTCCCGACGGGGTTCGAACACCGGACCCTGCGATACTGGCGCTGCAATCGCATGCTATACCACTCAGCGCGTCGGCCTTGTGTAGTTGCTTGGCTCTGCGTCGTAGTTGGTGCGCCCGCTGCAACTTGCTCTGTCCCTGTGCGATCGCCATTTAGGTGTCCTGCTCATCCTACTTTCCGCACTTGGACGCGTACTCCTCCTGTCATGACAGCCTTTGGCCCTCTTCCAGCGCCCTCTCGCACACAAAAGTTCGCCGGGAAAGCCTATATAACCGGTCCCAAATGGACACACCCCCCCACTCTCACTATTGGGCTCCTCGGCGTGCAGATATTCTGGTCCGTCGAGATGGGTTATGCATCCCCGTATCTTCTTTCCCTCGGCCTCTCAAAGTCTTCCATGGCCATAGTGTTCCTCGCAGGCCCGCTCTCTGGCCTCGTCATGCAGCCTGTCATCGGAGTCCTCTCCGATACCTCCACGTCGCGCTTCGGTCGCCGCCGGCCTTACATGCTGCTCGGCACCGTAATCTGCATCCTCGCAATGTTGCTATTAGGCTACACCCGCGGCTTCGCAGCGATCTTTACCACGCGAAATTCACCCAGTAACGACAGGTTAACCATCGCCCTCGCCATACTCTCCATATACCTCATCGACTTCTCCATAAACGCTGTCATGGCCGTGGATCGCGCCCTCCTTGTTGATACCCTTCCGCCTTCCGACCAAGCTTCCGGCAATGCATGGGCAGCCCGAATGTTGGGACTTGGCGCTGTAGTGGGGTTCTTTGTCGGAACCATACCGCTAACTCGTATGTTTCCCTTCCTGGGAACCACTCAGCTACAAGTCCTTAGCGTCATCGTTGCTCTTCTTCTCGCCGGAGGCCATATAGTAATGGCGGTCTGCGTCAAGGAACGCGTGCTTCTAAAAAGTACTCAACATTCCACGGCGAAACGCCCGAATGTCATCATCCGCGAAGCCAGGCAACTCTGGTCAAATATATTGACCCTTCCTCCTGTGATTCGCCAAATAGTACGTTCCATCCAGCGAATTCCGGTTCTCTCTCTCTAATCATTTACAGTGCGTAATTCAATTTTTGTACGTTCCCTGGTTGTAGCCTTAAATTCCGACTGATACCCAACCCAGTGCCTGGATAGCCTGGTTCCCCATTCTATTCTACACAACGATCTACATCGGCGACCTTTACAGGCGCTTTACGCCGCTCTCTGCCACCGCATCTCCCACCGAGCGTGATGCTGAGGCCACACGTCTCGGCACACGCGCCCTATTCTTCTCCGCCATCCTCTCACTCTTCCTCAACGTCATACTCCCGGCCTTCGTCGCCACCCCTGCCACGCGAACACATACGAGGCGGCGAGCAAACTCTCGAGCTGTTCAGGCTGAGCCGCAGACCGCCTGGGCGTGGGTTAAAGTCCCCGAAAGCCTCAAGGTGAACCTCGCGAGCTTATGGGCCGTGAGCCACCTCGTGCTCGGGGGCTGCATGCTCGGCACGTTGTGCGTCATCTCCTCATCCTCGTCTCTCATTGACTCACCAACATACCAGTTTCACCAACTCTGTGGCGGGCGCGACAATCCTCATCAGCGTCACCGGCTTTTCATGGGCCATCACCCAATGGGCGCCTTTCTCACTGGTATGTCGTCCCTCACCACGAAGCCATGCCTCTCTAACGGCATTCACCAGCTCGCAGAAGCCATCCTCACGGCCCCAGACCCCACCTCGGACACTCGCAACTCTATCCTCCTCTCCGATGCTCGAACACCGGTCGATGACCCTGAGGCCGCAGACGACGACGGTGAATCAGCTGTCTTCCTCTCCCGGCCCGCTGAGCACCCCGACTCAGGCGACGAGTCTGACCTCGACACCGACGACCGCCCTGCCGCTCTGGGGGTGTTAGGTAACCACCATGCGCGCGTGAGCCGTGTCAACCTCGACGGGGACTCGGAATGGGAAGATGTCGGCGAGGGCGGTGCGGCGCCAGACCAGGGTAGCGCAGGAGGCCTCAGTGCCAAGGCTGGAATCATTCTCGTAGGCATTTCACCTGCACCTATCGGACTTGCTTCGCTGACTCCGCGATTTTAAAAGGGAATTCATAATGTGTTCGTCGTGATACCGCAGTTCCTTGTTACTGGTTTCTCTGCCGTCATCTTCGCGATTTTCGACCCCTCGTTGCCTCCGACGCCGCCCCCAGTAGCTTCTCCCGAAGCCGAAGCTAGCACGAACGGGACGGAGCTCATTCGCGGCCTTATGATTGGCATCAGGAATGTGGTAGTGAGAGACCTAGCAAAGAACGAGGCGGACGCGAGGGGTGGGCAGTCAAACTCCGTCGTTTATATCTTCCGGTGGGTGTCAAGCTAATTCTCCATTCGGTGGCTTATGCGACTACTCAGTCTGGGCGGTGTATCGGCTTTGATCGCATTCATTCTTTGCTGGCGCCTTGCGCGGGAGCTACGGCACCGATAGCATATCATACGGAGTAGCTCTGCATTCAAAATACCTCCTAGACTCAGGTTTTCATCGTTAGCCTCGTATTCGCTTCCAGTTTATGCAAATGCTATGTAAATTATTGTATCCTACAAATGGTGCTGTTATGCCAATCCCATTGACGCGCATCCTGGCCTAAATGTGGTGGAACATTGACGTTGTGTGGGTGAACGTTGCGACAGGAACCAACGATACTGAGTGTAAAGGAATGACTTGGAATAGAAGAAACATATTGCCGCCATCGAATGAGAAGTGCTTGCGCAAGCACTTGAAAAGCAATTTGAATGATTGACGGGTGGAAGCACAACCGGCCCAAATATTAACCGGTCGCGATGAGAGCCTGGAGGAGATACTTGCGTTGCCGATAGGCAGATAGCGCCGTGGTGATAATGGCGGATGTGTTGAGAGTGGCGAGCCGTAGAAAGAACATTTGTGATCCTTCGGCACCTTTGGCGCACCGGAGACATATCGTCCTTTGGCTGATCGAGGTGGCAGGCTAGTATGTGCTTGCCAGCTTCAACGGCAACGGTCCATATCTTACTCAAAGAATCAGTTCATCTGTTACAGATATTGGCAAATATTATGTACCATGTGAGTAGACAGCAAGGCCCTCTCATTGAGAGCCAAACGTGCTACATTCGGATTCCGAATCCTCTCCGGACTTTCCGATGTCGATATTTGTCGTGAGTTCCGGAGAAGTGAGATTGGCATCCGTCTGCAGTCCTTGCATGTTGAGGATCACACGGCAAGTCTGGAAATAGTTCAATAAAAGCATTTAAATCGCTGAAGGAGTGATTTACCATGATTGATATGAGACATATAGGCCACCTGTAATCAAGGGAGTTGGTAAAGCAATCTGTACGACAGAATTATTACGGACGGGAACATCGCCGGAGCCGCGTCCGGCATAACGTATGTATACGGAGTGACTGTTGCCAGTAGAGCTGGACGTCAAGGATATCAGCGCAGATTACGATAGGTGACAGGGTTTACTTACCACTGACGACCACAAAGATGAAGGCTCCGTCGCGTAACATGAGATGCACGATGGGTGCATAGCTCAGGCCGCCGCTCACTCTTCCAACATTCCTTTTGTGAATGGTCAATCCCCAAAGAAAGGTATGGCGAACGAGGGAGAACACGCTTCAAATTATACCAGCATTAGCGAATAAATCGATGACATGTCACATGTAACATATTGTGGTGCACACCTGAAGTAGGCGAATTCGTACGGGGCCTGCCTCACGACACAAGCGTCGTCAAATCTCAGGCGGCTCGGTATGCGCCCAGCGCAGGCGGCGGAAACACCCAGTCCAGCAAATATCATAGTGAGAAGAAGTACGCCTATGATTCTGCTTCTGTGATACAGTGCGTATACTATTCGTACGATATGAGCAGCGCGGAAACCAGGCAGAACTTGAGACGCACTCACGCCGTAATGACAGTACAGTTTCAAGTGTGAACATCATGCTGAGAAAGGAGGCTAATTGCAACGCGAACCACGCTGCACATATTCGAGGCTGCGTGACAGTGGAAGAAAGAAGACTGTATATTGCGACTGTGTTGACTCTAAATAGCAGGAGCTGGTGGGTCAACGACGTATCACTGCAACAAACTGACGTACATTTGCGAGCATATCCCGAAATACCGCGAAAAGATATACAAGCGTTTCACAGCTGTGACTGGGGCACTATCCAGGTACATTCCATTAATATGAGTTAGTTAGAGTATATGAATCCGTGGGCTCACCTCCAGACATGTTGACATTCATGATCGTAATTGATCAGTGTGTCCCAGAGAAGTACAGTCAGTGCCGCAACTACCACAGAGTCAACACGACGCTTGGTTTGATCGCAAAAAATACCGCTCACAGGATGAAGAGTTGCGAATGAATTGCGGCGGCTGCATATACAAGTGAGAGAGGGTGCACAAAAAGAAAGGACGTGGGTGAACAAGATGAAGCGCCGTCGCTTAACAACCAAGGTTGAGAGTTGTAAATTGTGATCTCGGTTCGAATAGCATCGCTTCCGGATCCTCTCAATTAGCCACCGTTGGCCACTCTAAATTCAGAATCAAAATTACCATTCCACAAGTGATCAATTCTCTGGTACTTTGAGCAAGGCAACTAACGTACCTAATGTACATAGAGGTACGTTGAAACCCAACCCACCTGCGCGGCTCTGCGTGCACATGTATTTTTCGGCCAGGGCCCAGCTGTGAGCCTTGAGGCTATGCATGTAAAGTTCGCACCGCTGCCAGCCTGCCGTGTGAACGTGTGAACAGTCCTAGTGTGATAGAATCCCTGACTTATCCTAAGCCACTTTAAGAACTTTATTATAAGGATCATGCCTGCCATGAGTCGGACCTGAGTCCAATTGAACTTGCAGGGCTTTTGGCATCAATTGCAGGGCTCAACTCAACTTGTGAAAAACAGCCCAAGTTACCAATGAGTGTGGCGTTGCGTCGACTTTCTTCGTAGTGAAATCGAGAATGCCAAGCGCCTCAGAAGTCCTGTACGAACCATACAGAAGACAGGAGTAGTCACACCAACAGTACCTATGCTGCTGCGGCCTCCTCAGCCGC